TGCTGGAAACCAAGCTTTCATTTGTATCTAAGCTCTTTTTATATTTTGTTTGCTATGATCTTGCAAAAACTAATGCTGGCAAAGCCTCGAAAAGGTATATAGCATTCTCTAATTGTGCAAATGACACCCAAAAATGTTGGTAATCCTTAGACTTGCATTACAATATGACAAATTTGGAGGCAGTGACATAATAATTATTCAGTTTAACTTGAGGATATATTTTTGTGATAAATTCATTTCATGAAAGCATTATTTGCAATAAAAATATTAAAACAAGGAATTTCAATTATTGTTGAGTACGGTTTAACAATCCTCCACCCTTCCAGTTGAAGGGCTGTGAGTGTAACCATCTTAAGAAGCTGATTATGTTTACTAAGCAAGCTCTGATCAAAGGGGAACATGATATTAATTGAACTGTTGTTGATCAAAATTATGCCAGAAATGAGAGGAATATTTAAAAGAAAAGTGTTCACTCCAGGTTTTCCCTGATTTCAAAGCTTGGTTAGAGAGCAAAATCGAATCCCAGCCCTTCAATTTATCTTGGGAGTCAATTCTATAAAACTTTTACAAGTGTACAAGTACCTATCATTGTTTTTAGACTCTAAACCAATAGCTACACTTGCAAATTACATTTATTAAATTGAGCCCTGCTTAAGAATCTTTACAAGATGATGTACATTTTTTTTAAAGATTCTTACTAGATCTAGGTAATAATTTGGCAAGATAATTTGTAAGGTTTTCATAAGAATCCTCCAAGATCTTGTAAGATCTTGTAAGATCTATGTAAGGTTCTTACAAGATCTTCTAAGATCTATATAGGAATCTTGTAAGATCTTGGTAAGAATCTTGAAAGATTGTGTAAGAATCTTATAAGATCTTGGTAAGAATCTTTATAGATCCTGTTGGAATCAAATAAGATCTTGTAAGTTTCTAAAAAGATTTTTGCAAGATCTTGCAAGAATCTTACAAGAATCTTGTAAGACGATCTTGTAAGGTTCTTGTAAGAATCTTTTGACAAGAATCTTAATAAGAATCTTGATAAGAATCTTAATAAGAATATTAATAAGATCTTAATAAGATTTTCACCTGGGCTAACAGGCAAATTAAGAGGGCAGAAGTAGCTATGGACCTTTTATGTAATGACAAATTAAAGGTGTCTGAGACTGTTACTAAATAATGAAGATGAATTGAAGACAAATTAAAAATGACTCTTGTGGTGCATTTTAGAATGATTAAAGGCAAATTAAAGATGACTTGAGACTCAAAATGGACATTAAAGGTGACCTAAAGGCAAATTAAAGATGACTTGAGACTCAAAATGAACATCAAAGATGAATTAAAGGCAAAATTAATTAAAGATGTCTTGCGACTAAAAATGGACATTAAAGG